GGATGCAGATGCTTAGTTGTATAGCTGACTGCTAAACCTCTTCCCAACACCCTGTATGTACCACTCTGCACTTCCATGGAGAATGTATGGGAGTACAGTGCCTCCTCATCCCTCCCAGCCTTCAGTGTTCATTTGAATGCTTCTCTTGATAGTAAACACCTTTTCGTGTGCTTTTTGGCCTTTTGTACATCTTCTTTTGTGAATGATCTGTTGAAATCATTTACCCATTTTTGAGTTGTTGTCTTATTTGTTATTTTTGTAAATATATTTTTATTGATTTCAGAGAGGAAGGAAAAGATAGGAACATCAGTGATGAGACAGAATAATTGATTGGCTGCCTCCTGCATGCCCCGGACTGGGGATCCAGCCCACAACCCAGCATGTGCTCTGACCAGGAATCTAACTTTGACCTCCTGGTTCATAGGTCAATGCTCAACCACTGAGCATGCCAGCTGGGCACCTTTATTTTTGAGCTTTGCAAATTCTTTACATATACCAGATGCTTGGCAGATATGTGTTTTGTTAATACTGTATTTTCTCTTATTGATGCCTTTTGATGAGTAGAGGTTTTCATTTTGGTCAAGTCTAATTTATCTATTTTTTTCTTTTGAAAATTTTGTTGATAGTCATGAGAAACCTTTGCTACCCCATGTCATGAAGATACTCTCCTCTGTTTCATTTTTTAAGAAAGCATTATGATTATTGCTTTTATGTTTAGGCCTATGGCCCTTCTTGAAATGATTTTTGTTTCCCTGGAATTTAAGATACAAAACAAAAAACTCTTACAGCAATTCTGTTTTGATTTGATGGTTTTAAAGTATAACTTGGCAGTCTTTGGCTTAAAATAAACTGATGGTGGTTAAGTGACTCATTGGACTGAGGCAGACATACTGGTGATCTCAGTGAGGGTCTAACTAGGTGAGGGACAAACCAGCCATTAATAACTGATGGCCAGGGTCAGTCTGGTCTTTGGAGGCAAAAATACAGTTCAATTATTGGCACTGGAGAGTTTTTAAAAATAACTAGTTAGCCATTTAAAAGATGTTTTAGGTTAGTTACTTAAATTTTGAGTCTAATAGTGCAGAGATATAACTTTATTTATGTGATAAAAAGCTCTTTAAAATGATGGAGGGCAGTAATTGAGAGTAACCATCAGTGATGAGCAGATAGACGACTCCCAACTCCCTAACTCCCGACTGGTCTGCAGGAAGTTCTACTTTGATTTTTAGGTGATTTCTTTATCAGTCAAGCCAGTGTTTAGAGGAAGATTTTCTGGTTACAATTCGTAAAAGATAAATGCCTTAATTCCTTAAAGCTACGGAAATAAATTAATTTTTAGATCAGAGGAATTTTGAAGTACTTTGAAACAAAAATATATCAAGAATATGTGATGCTTTTATTTAATTAAAATTCGGCATATCCTTATGTTGTTCACTTTAATTTTTAATTTCCTATAATGCTACAGTAAGTAGGAATCCATATGTACCCATGATGCAGATATAAGTTATCCAGGATGTTTCACTTTGGTCCCTAAAATGTGATCCATATATTGAAAATATCCATTTCTTAGTAACTGGGTATAAAACTTGAAGAATCATGAATTTTAAGATGTAACCAGGGAATGTTTAGAAAATACACTTTGAGTTTATGTCTATGGGACATAGTCATAAGCCTTTGCTAAGACAAACAAAAGAGTTTTTTCCAACAGCTTTCATTCTGTTTGTGATTCTAGAATATAACCTAAATTAAATTATATATGTTAACCACTTTTGACCTTTAGGTAAAAATAATTCACTGCAGACGTGGCTTTTTTGACCACAGCTGCTTATTGTTGATATTATTGGTAACTTTCACATAATACAGAAAAACGGAGGGGGGAAATCCATGAGCCAGACAGTTACAGGCCCAATGGTTTGAGATAAAGTAATAGAACTGTCCCTAACTATTGAGCCATCGCTGGGTTCCTTATTGGAAACATGTCTCCGTGCTCTGCCATCTTCCCCCTTGGAAAGAGCACATTAAATAGTCTGCGGATGGCTTATCACAGCGGGTGAAACTTCCCTGTCACTGCTCCGTTGTGTGCTTCTCCTGGACAGCTTAGAGGGACCACCAAAAGCCAGAATGTGTTCCCTCACCCTGAAAGGCTGCAAGTGTCATCTACAGAGGAGCCGTCAGACTTGTTCACTCTGTCACCCCAGCGCAGGGCTTGGCACAGAGGGAATGCACAGCAAATATTTGTTGACTTGAAATGAAAGGTTGCTTTGTAGCCATGAAACTGAAAAATGCAGGCAGGGCCCTGTCGGAAAGTTATGTCAACAGTAAGGAGAGTTCTGCCTACAGGGTAATGACCGCCGTCCAGCCTGGAATGTGGAGTGTGCAGAAAAGGCCACTTGTCCTGCCCCCTTTTTTAATTCCGACCCACACGCCGGGAGAGGACCAGCATGACTCTTGGGCTGCTGACCACCTGTTACTGTTTTGTGCCTGCTGCTTGCCCCTGGTCTTGGCAGCGGTCTCTTCAGAAGTAGTCATGCAGAGTTTGGAAAAAGAAATTGGGCTGATTTTGAAACTTTTCCAAGCTATCCTTGCTCTTCAATAAGGCAGAAATGAGTCTCTAACTTGACACTTGGTAAACACCTTAAAAGACACTTTCATGTACTAGGTAATTAAGTTGAAAGAGTTAGCTTGTGGTGACACCCTTACAACCTTTCAAGCATGTCTTTTGTTCTTTAATATAAGCTTATATTCAGATCTCATTTCTATCGATATGAACATGCCCCCGATGAGTACAGAGACAGGCGCATGAGCCAAAGCGAAGTTTACTGAACGTCATCTGAAAAGCCTTTTGGGGGCTGACATTGCGTTGTGACACTGTCATTTATGGGGCTGCGAGGCCCCAGTCCTCAGAGAGCTGTTCTAAAGCAACTTATTTCTGTGGTTATTCCTCTGCCCCAGTAGGGAATCCCTCTTAGTTTAGCAGTATGTCAGAAAAACTTTATGACTAGCAGATGTTTGGGTTAATAAAAACCATGCTTATCTTCTTTCATTGCTGTTACACATTCTTACTGTGACTTCTTCATAGGGACTTTGAATAAAAGGGGGGTGGGGGGAAACTGTAGTATTTGGCAGAATCTGATCATTTTAAACATTTCTCTGTCATTATAGAAGGCATGGAACATTAAATTTAAACAATTCTTAACGGGAGATTAATGGCTCTTGCCAACCTGATAAGACTCTCAGAAGAACTCCTCCTTATATTTCTAGTTGCACCTTCTTGTGTAGCTCATGTTGCCCCCTCTTCCTGGAACATCAAACACAGGCCAGTATCTGAATAAAAGCAGTGTGGAGGGCAGGAATGGGGGGAGGGGGTATCCAGATGAGGTGGGAGCTGATCTAAGCTCTGTTCTGAACAGTATTCAGAGCTTTGCCAGTGGTCACAACTCATTAGTTTGAGAGGCAATAACAAGTCATCAAAGGAAGGTTATACCTACATATTTGCCAGAGACCAATTTTATAACATAGGCCAGTGGTCGGCAAACTGCGGCTCTGTTGACTAATGAGTTTGCTTATCACTGACCTAGACTCTCGATTCCAATCATTACAGGCTGTTGTTGTTCCTTGTGATTAAGCCCTACCCTAGTGGTTGACAAACTCGTTAGTCAACAGAGTGGCAAATCGTGGCTCGAGAGCCGCAGTTTGCCAACCACTAACCTAGGCCCATCTGTCTGTGGACATTCGTATGCTCTCTTGAGAATCTTTGGCGATGTGGATTAGCAGGCAATGATACCTGAATGGCAGATCTTTTAGTAAATGGAGAAGGTACTATTTTATAGAATTAGGGCAGGTCAAATGGGATGAAACTTAGGTGGGGATGAATGTAAGCTACAGACTATATGCAGTTTTACTTACACTTGTGGAGCTCTCTGATATTGGAGGCACTTAAGAAGTTAGAATATGTCAAATGCCATAATAGAGGATTAGATAGTTTTTGAGTGATATAGACAAAAGGGTAGCTAAATGAGGGGAAAGAATGGCCTTCCAGACAGAGGGAGCAGCAAGACCAGCCATAGGGGCATGAACATGCCGGGTCTCCCAGGGAGAGAAAGTATCTCTTTCCCAGGGCAGTGTGGCTGGAGGGAATGACAGGAGATATGAGTAGGAAGTTGGGGCAGGAGAGTGGACAAGCCTCGGTCCATGCTGACAGCGTGCTTTTTTGTAAACCATGAGACCCCTGGAAGAATTCTGAGCAGAGCAAGCAGCTTGGAAAGTGGATCAGCTCAGAGTCTAGAAGCGAGATCCGCTCAGAGGATTTGTAAAGTCTCTGAAGGTGTAAAGTGCAAGTAGGGCAGGGGAGGTAAAAGTGGGAAGAATGGAGCTGGATTTAAAGAGTTTTCAGAAATAGCAAGTAGGTGGAAATAAGATTAATAGTCAAAAGTGAGTTTATTGGGGAAAATAGCAGATCAGACTGTGGCTTCCACCAGGAGAAAAAGCAGACGGGAAGGGAGCTGGTGAGTTTGGTTTGAATGAGCTAAAATTCTGGAGAGCATCCCAGTGGAGAAATCCATAGGCACCTGTACATTTTAATCCGATTTAATAGGAGAGAAGTTTGGGCTAAAAGTAGAGATGTGGGGGTCATTTCAATAAAGGCGGGGATCTTAAGCTACCGATTTCATAGCAAGATAAAGTTTTTTCTTATTACAGTAATTTCTTTTTTAAAACTATAATACAAGAAACTCGGGTGTAATTATTTCACATTTTGTAACTTAAATATTATCGAACTGTATGAGATTTGTCTTTGTTTGGGTTATACTTTTTCTTCAGAGAACTTAGTCTTATTGTACCTGGATACTCGTGATGGAAAAAGTTTTTCAACGTAAGCATTTTAAGGGTAGCTTTTTAAATTGCCGTTTTCCATACTTAAAAGGAAATGTTGTGAACATGCTAAGCAGGTTGAATTTGACATAAAGTTCCCAGCATAACCTCATTCTTGCATTGCTTCGCAGGCACATCTTTTTCTTACACATCAAGGAGGCCCTCCTGGCCGGCCATCTCCAATGCTCCCCCGAGCAGGCGGTGGAGCTCAGTGCCCTCCTGGCCCAGACCAAGTTTGGAGACTACAACCAGAACACCGCCAAGTACAGCTACGAGGAGCTGTGTGCCAAGGAGCTCTCCAGCGCAGCCTTGAACAGGTGAACCTGGGGTTTGTGCCTGTACACCTAGCAACTGTATATGCATTTCCAGGAGAAAATGAACCTATAGTATGTATAGATAATTTGTGAGGCTAAGACTAGACAGTTGTCCAACTTAACCAGTTATTTTCAAAAGATTCTTACCCTTTTGTTTGTTAAACCTATAAGTCAGCACATAATTCACACAAATAAATGCCCTTATATAAAATGATATATAACAGGAGTTTAAAAAAAAAAAAATCTCTGACCTTTAAAGATTACAAATTTTCTAAAATCAAAACCCTGTCCTATATGCTGGAATCCTCTTCATCCCAGCGAGGATTAAACCAGGAGGCCTAACACAGGTGTCTTAGTTCTTCCTCAGGAACAAGTTACTCCAAAACTTAGTGGCTTAAAACAACAAACATCCCCCAGGTCTGTGGGTCAGGAATCTGGTCCTGGATGGCTGGGTTCTCAGGCTCAGGATCCCTCATGAGGCTGCTGCTACGCGCTGCTGGTGGAGGAGAGAGGGATCCGCTTCCAGGCTGACTCAGGAGGCTTGTCAGCAGGCCTTGTTCCTTGCCACATGGGCCTGTTCACATGGCCTCTTCATCATGTGGTAGCTGGCTTCACGCAGGACAAGCAACCCGAGCTAGAGCAAGAGAGAACACCCAGATGAAAGGCACAGCCTTCTTATGACTTAACTTCAAAGTGAGTGACTTCCCATCACCGCCATATTCTGTTTATTAGAGGCCAAGTCACCGTTTTAGCCCACAGTCAGGGGAAGGACATTTCCAAGGGGGAGAGCACTCATAGGTGGGGATCTAGATAGAAGGTGTACGCCACAGCAGATCCAATAAATCCTGTCTTCTTTTTAGTTGCAAACAACCTAATCAATCTCTTATAATGCTATGTTTCAGTTGAAATTTACAAAGTAAATGTAGACAAAATAAGTTCTTACATGTATTTTTAGAGATTTTCATAATTCTTCCAATTCACCCTCATCCAACATCCCCAATAGTCTTTCTACTGAATATTTAATAACCAAGATCTTGACTAGTGTCTTGGAAGTATTTCACAGTAAATTTGCAAAATAAAAGAAACAGCAGTAACATACAGCTTTAAGTTACTGTGATTCACAAACGACAGTGTCAGTAGAGTTCACTAATGAAAATGATAGACTTTTCTCTAAAGGCTGCGTTAAGTTAATCTCTCTGTGTACCTCTCTGCCTTTTTGGTGGCCCGCAGCATCGTCGCAAAGCATAAGGAGCTGGAGGGGACCAGCCAGGCCTCGGCGGAATACCAGGTCTTGCAGATCGTGTCGGTGATGGAAAACTACGGCATCGAATGGCACTCTGTGAGGGACAGCGAAGGGCAGAAGCTCCTCATTGGGGTTGGACCTGAAGGAATCTCAATTTGTAAAGATGACTTTACCCCAATTAACAGGTAACCCAAGTCTTGAATTCTTTAGACCTACACATCTGTATACATTCATAGCTCTCACCCTGAAAATAGAAAATGGAGTGGGATTTACTGAACAGTCATCCTTTAGGAACAGAAGTGTTTCATTTTGGTACAAGCATTCATTTTATTCAGGCTTTGATAACTAATAATTTTTTAAAATACTAACTCAAGTGTATTGATGTGACAGGCTGAATGTTTCCTTCTTTTTTTTTTCCCCCCAAATAAGTTGCTCATTGCTATAAAAATCTCACTTTCATCTATACACACATGCACATACATCCTTCCCCCCCCCCAAAAAAAAAAAAAAAATTGTTCCACCTCTTCTCTCCACTGACCCACAGTTGCCTTCCTAACTAGGAATCGAGTACTTGAATGAGCACCTGATTTTGTTGCTGGGGCATGAGCACAGAAAGAGAGTCCTATGAAGGTGCATGCAATGACAAATCTCTCCTGTGGGCTTGCTCACTTTTCTCTTCCTGTCTCCCAGGATAGCGTACCCCGTGGTGCAGATGGCCACCCAGTCGGGAAAGAATGTGTACTTGACAGTCACCAAGGAGTCTGGGAACAGCATCGTGCTCCTGTTTAAGATGATCAGCACCAGGGCTGCCAGCGGGCTCTACCGAGCAATCACAGAGACGCATGCTTTCTACAGGCACGTACCTCGGCGGACCTCAGCGCCCATCCTCGGCTCTCAGGTTTGAGGTGGCAGTGAGGCTCCCTCGGTTTCTGATGGTGTCGTGTCAGTAAACCGCGTTCCAGATTTAAGAAATCAGCTGCTTTAGAACACTTCACTTCTGAGCAGAGAAGTCCTTAGCAACATCAGACAGTTTTCCCGCTTTTCCCACAGACAGTGCGTGTGTATCTCCCTTCCCCAGTTACCTCTTCCTGCCTCCTCCCAGGACCTCCTCACAGCACGCTTCTCCCCTACACACACAACCCCCTGCCCCTCACCCCGCCCCACTGCTGCCTTTTGCCCTTTCCCAGCAGGATGACCTCCTCTCTTTTCTGGCAGAGCTGTGACCCTAATGGGTTTTTAATAACAATTTTGATACCCTCATTACAGAGGGTGATTTAAAGTAGAGTTTTACACAAATATTTGGAAAATTAGAGCTAAGAAATTTAATTGGCAGGCACCCTGAGCTTTTGTTTATGTTAAATTAGACATGCAAATTGTGGAACAGGATAGAAAATTTGTAGGGATTTTTAACATAAAACCAACACTTCAAAGAAAAATGTCCTTTTTCTTGCCACAAGCTGCTTTGTCCATCGCTCATGTCCTCGCAGGTGGAGGGGACATTCCTTGTCCCCGACGTTTACGGCTGCTTTATCCTTAGCACTCACGAAACTGGAAGTATAATATATACTTTCAAGAATGCAAGTAGGCATATTGGATGTCTGCTGACACAAAAACTGTGCGTCCCAGCCCTGCCTGACGGTCTGCATCTCAGGCGGCGGGCTTGTCGGTGCTGACGCGGCTGTCCATCTTCCCGCAGGTGTGACACGGTGACCAGCGCCGTCATGATGCAGTACAGTCGAGACCTGAAGGGCCACTTGGCATCTCTGTTCCTGAATGAGAACATAAATCTCGGCAAGAAGTATGTCTTCGACATTAAGAGAACATCGAAGGAGGTGTATGACCACGCCCGGAGGGCACTGTACAACGCCGGCGTGGTGGACCTGGTCTCCAGGAGCGAGCACAGCCCCCCCAGCTCGCCCCTGAAGGCCTCGGAGAGCAGCATGAACTGCAGCAGCTGCGAGGGCCTCAGCTGCCAGCAGAGCCGGGTGCTGCAGGAGAAGCTGCGCAAGCTGAAGGAGGCCATGCTGTGCATGCTGTGCTGCGAGGAGGAGATCAACTCCGCCTTCTGCCCCTGCGGCCACACTGTGTGCTGCGAGAGCTGCGCAGCCCAGCTCCAGGTGAGGGGTCCGTCAGCCTGCTCTCCCCACAGTCTCCCTTATTCCTCTGCTCCATAGGGAGCCCCTGCTGCCTGCCAGGCGCTGGCTGGGTAACACACACACCAGGAACGCCCGCCTGTACCTGGAAGGGTCTTTGTGTTCGGGGACTTGAAAGGCATTGCCCTTTTGAGACATTGTGGATTAGGGTGCTATTTTCCACAGGGGAATTGCTCTAAGCCCTGGACTCTTCAAGTACTGGAAGCAAAGCTCAGCTTCACAAGGTTCTGCGTCTTGTTGGTGCTGAGCTAAGGGCTGGAATCCGGCCTCCGGGGGGCTGGCCCAGGGCTTCCCCTTCTGACACTTGAGAGGATGGCCTTTACTTACAATATTTGAGAAAGAATACTTAAGAGCTTTGGGTTATAGATAACTCTCAATTATCCATGGTAGGTTGTTTACATTGTGATTATTTATAACTAATTTATTCTTATTACTGCATTTGCCTCTAGGGACCTCTTGGAGTGGCTCTTAGCAAGTCGAACTAATTATAGTATTAATTCAAAAAATAAAGGCAACTCATATATAGTATTCCCCTCCCCCCCTTTCTTGTACCTTACATTTCCTCTTAGGATAATTTCTTTTAACTTTTTTCGTTTCTCATAACTGTTTGCTAAATTTCACTCTGGTTTTATGTAAAACTAGTCCTAACTAATGGCTAGTCCTTCAGAAAGTGCTCCTTTCAGAGCTGTTTTGAGAGCTACGTGAGCCAACAGAATGCCTGTGTCCTTGAGTAGATGGTGCTGCTGTGACAAATTATTTCCCCAGGAGTGGTCCTGGGTTTATCTTTTTCGGCCCACGTGCCTAAGGCTCCCTTTCCCGCCTAGGAAGGGCCGTGCTTACCGAGAAGCCTGGGCCTGGGAGCGGAGCCACACTCGCTGGCCTGGTGGCATCAATCCAGGGACACTGGCCTGCGTCAGCCAGCACACAGTCTCTGGAAGAAATCACTGCCAGGGCGAGCGGTGGGGGCAGTCTGCCCGTGTGGGGACTGCAGCCTCGTTGCACAGCAAGAAGTCTTCGGAAATCACTTGGCTCATGTGCCTTGCTTAGCGTTTGACGAAAAACCTCATTCATTTCCTTCAGCTTAACCTTTTTCATAAATATTTGTTTTTAATCCCCTGAAAGTATAAACTGCCAAACTAGTTGGAAAGCTAAGATCTCTACCAGTTGAAACAATTGTGACCGCAGCGTATTTAGCGGAACATGCTGGGTACCACAGGTGAGCACCGTGAACACGCAGGCCGGAGGTATCCTAACTGGTCCTGTTGGCTTCTCTTTTGCAGTCCTGTCCTGTCTGCAGGTCGCGGGTAGAACATGTACAGCACGTCTACCTTCCAACTCACACCAGTCTCCTCAACCTCACGCTCATCTGATCTTCTGTGCACTTATCACACGGCCACGTTTCCATGAGCTGCGCTATTACAAACTAGGAGGAGGATAGACTGTGGAGAAAATAAATACTCTAGACCCATCTGCCATGCAACATTTTTTTTAAAAAAAGGAAGAATAAAAAAAAAGAAGCACTACTCCTCACCACCAAAACATGCCATCGGCAGCTCCCATGGTGGGGACCAAGGAGAGCTCAAACATGGACACATTCCTCGGACTTCCATTCTTTTAATGATTAAGTAAAGGAATAAGTAAAACCTCTGATGTCATTAGGTAGCAACCTAGCCAAAAAGTGGGTACCTTTTAGGAAGTGATATTGTAAGTCTCTTATTGTATCCTAAGGTAAGTTTCCTACCTGCAGCCAGTTTTGTAAGAATTGGTTTTAAGAATTTACCTGATTACTTCCGTAGGGGGGGGGGGAGGGTGGCCTTTTGTTTTGTTTTATTTTGTTTTGTTTTGTTTTTGGCATGGTCACAGAGCTGTGAACATTTTTAATAGGAATTTTTTTCTTAAAAGACATAGTCATCGTTTTAATGTCATTTCTGTTTTTGTATCTTGTTCAAGAATGATTAGAAGGCAGACATTTCAAAAATCAATCATCTAACTGTTAAAAAGTTGACAACCAAGTTGTCAGGTTTAAACCAGTCTGGCTAGTAGAAAACACATAATGCGATGTGGGTGGCTTCCTGCCCCTTACCCACCCCTCCTTACCCTCACGCTTCCAAATATAAAATGCTGCCAATTTGGCTAAAATATTTCAATGGAGGAATCGGCACTCCTTGGGCCTCCTGAGTTGGAGGAATAGTTTATTTTAAGATCAGAAAGGGAGCATGTTCCCGGGGAAGGAGAGTGTTGCTCACTGAGAGGAAGCTTCGTGGAGTACAAACAAAGGTGTTCTTCCGTTCTCCCAAGCACTCTACCCCAGCTTCACCCAGGGGTCACTTCTGCTTGAGCCATCAAGCTTTCCACAGCCTTATAAGAAGTATCTAGATATTGTATGCTTTTTTTTTTTTTTTTGTAAATGCTTAAGCATTAACTTGTGGTTGTCCCCTCTGTAGTTCTTCGAGGGGTTTCAGGTGTCGTGTTTCTATATTCTCAGTCATGTTTTCCACTCCCACTTGGGCATTTTGGACGTTGGTCAGCTTGTAGGTTCTCCAGGACGTCAGGAAACCTAGATGACCGTATTGGGTGCAATACTAGCTGAGTTAAAGCTAGGAAGCTACACTGTCACTTTACTGAGATTTCTGAGTGTACTTTTCATATTGCCTTAATGTAGCAGTAATGTGTTTATGCATTTGTTTCTTTGCACAGACATTTTGTCAGATATTAAAACTCTACTTTTTTATGGCACATATTAGCATATAAGCCTTTATTCCAGAAGGTATTTATTTTTTCACTTGTAAAAAATAAAATAATGTTTCCACATAAAGAACTCTGTTATATCCTAAGAGGACTTCTGTCTTTTATATTCAGGATAATAAAGACTTTAAAGCAAATTTGGTGTTTGTGTCATCACAGTTATTGCTATTTAAGCCAGTTCAATTTACTCAAAAGAGCATTGATAATATCATAGTTTCTATCTAATTTGGCCCTATATGGACAATTTCTTTCAGGTATTGGCTTTAATCAAAGAGAATATTCGTTATTCATTCTTCTATGTTTTCTGATGATAGGATGCTGCTGCTGGTTAGTTGCCTAGTCAGGACAGGTAAGTACTTGTCCAGATTCTAGCAGTAATGGCCACAGGCTACTACAGAACCTATTTTACACAGGCTACTAGGACTATATCTTGCAGGACGATATCTGCTACTAGGACCTAACTGCTCTACCTATGCCAGCATGTATTAATTTGTGTTGCTCAGGAAGTGCTTTGTGGAGAAGAGAACACTGCATATAACAGATGTAACTGATAATTACCTGTAGCAGTTAAAGAAGGTAATTTCAATTGCTGCAAAAGGTTTGTTCAGTACACAGACAGTTTTTTTTAAGGACAGGATTTTCAAAAAATTGAAAGACAGGGATTTGTTCTCTACATTTCCTATACCTAAGCCAGTCTTCCATCAATTTCTAGGAATTGATTCATTTCATTCAATGCATTTATTGAACCCCTGCTAAGTAAGTTGTTATTGAGCACTAGAAATTGAACAGTGGTCAAGACATGAATGACACACGGTACTGGTATCATGTACTTAACCTGTAACATACACTATCCTATATAATAAAGAAATAATATGCAAATTGACCATTACACCCTCACAGTGGCTGCCTATGACCAGGCTGGCAGGGGGGTTAGTGAGGGACGACCAAATGACTGAACAAGCAGGCTGTGTGGGGCAACTAGTGCGGTGTGGGGGGGCTCTGAGGGGCGACCAGGCCAGCAGGAGGGGCACTTGGGGGCGATCAGGCCAGCGTAGGGGTGGGGGAAACGGGTGACCAGGCAGGCAGGCAGGTGAGTGGTTAGGAGCCAGTGGTCCAGAATTGTGAGAGGGATGTCCGACTAGTCCCAGATGGGAGAGGGCACAGGCTGGACTGAAGGAAATCCCCCTCCCTCACCCCCAAGCAATACTAGAGCACTGGGCCTCTAGTATTCTATATATAGGGAAGTTAAGTAATATTCAAAAGTCATAGAATATTAGCACTGGAAAGACCTAGAGTGTGTAAGTTTCAAAATGTTAGCCAGGTTGATGACTAGCCAACAAATGGGTAAGATATTACTAACCCTACTAGACCCTGGACTCCTTAAGCTTAGTGGCTAACATGAAAATCATCATATTATAAGATGGTATAAAAGAACTATAAGGAAGGTGCTATGGATTTACAGGTTAATTCTGCTTACAGGCCAAGGATAAAGGTGCTTTACAAAGGAGCTCTGAGCTGAGCCCTGACACTCTAGTTGGGTTTTACCCGGTGGAAAAAGGGATAAGAAAAATCAAGAGACTGAAAGCTACACCAGAGACAACCTCAAACAAGCAGGCCAGCTACATTCAAAAACTGCAGCGGAGTCAAATAGAAGGACTACCGAGGAAGGGCCATACACATGGCAGCATTAGGATATCTTAGGTTCTGAGAAAGAGTGAGTGCATTATGAGGGGTGGGAATTGTGAGGTGAATACAAATGTGAGATGAGGTTGTGGAAGTGAAAAATGGGTGCCAACATGGTTTTGGTGATGAGGTGGAGTAAAGAAAGGTTGTATCATAGCCTGCACGACTCTGTGATGGAGCATCAACTTATGAACCAGGAGGGCCTGGTTTGATTCCTGGTCAAGACATATGCCTGGTTGCTGGCTCAATCCCCAGTGTGTGGCGTGCAGGAGGCAGCTGGTCAATTCTAATCATCGATGTTTCTATCTCTCCCTCTCCCTTCCTCTGTCATTTATGTATCATAGGAGGAGGCATGGTCAAGAGAAGTGTTTTGGTTTTGTATTTTCAGTGGGAGGCCATATGTGGGCACTGAGAGGAATCATGGAGAGCCTGAAGCCTCAAGAGGCTGTTCTCCCAAAAGCACCATTTACAAGACTTGAAAAAAAAAACATTCTTTCATCTCTTTTTTTAAGGCTTCTAAACATTAGTGCTGATGCTAGGACTGTTTAAGCCCACTCTACCCCTCCCACTATGTCTGTTCTCTATCTTGTCACAGTAGAAGCTCAAGTGCAAGGCTGATAAATTCTGGGGTTGTCCCTTACTCCTGCCAGTGAAGCCCCAGGGGTGACTACTCTTGTGTAAAATATGAACTCCTCCAAGATAAACTTGAGAAAGAAATACCCTGCAGAACAGAAGTTTGGGCAAATTTCCAAGCACAAGCATGGGGGAAGCTGCATGTACAGGTTGGTGCAAGCATGCCTGAGGAAGGAGGGGTCAACATTTCTAATAGTTTCATCAAGCAATGAAAAAAGCCTCAGTGGAGTTGGATCACAGTCAGAATTTAAGACTGTCTTTCTCTTTATCATATATGATGCCTTCTTATAGAAACCCAAAAACATGGCAAATCACTTTTTCGTATTTGCTGCAGCTCCTTGAAATGAGTTTATTTAAAAACTTCAAGATATTAAAAAGCCCTATGACTTTTAAAAACAAAACAATGTCAGGACCACACAAATTAGACAAATTTATCACACCTGCCAGTTGCTTAAAGAAAAAATTTGCTTCAAGCAAAAGCTCAACATCTGTTTGTTCATAAAGTTTGTGCTGTTGTGAAGGGAAGAAAAACCTCAAATGCACCAGTGAGCCTCTGTCAAAGGGTGACTCTTCTAGTTGAGAGGAAAATTTCTATACAAGTTTGTGAAACAAAAATATAAATAGTCCTAAGACCAAAACAATAAAGCATGTGTATGTGTATACATGTATATGTAAATGTGTAGATGTGTGTACATATATGTATTTTGCATATACATTACAGATAATCTATACTAATAAAAGGGTAATATGCTAATTAGACTGGGTCAACTGGACTTCTTCCAGACATCCACTTCCTTCTGAACAAAGCCACGGTGGCAGGGGCCAAGGCAATGGCAGTTAGGGGTGATCAGGCTCGCAGGGAGCAAGCAGTTAGGCGTGAAATCAGGCTGTCGTGGAGGAGCAAGCAGTTAGGGGGTGATCAGGCCAGGGGAGGGCAGATGGGGGCAATCAGGATGGCAGGCAGGCAGAGGTGGCTAGTGGTGATCAGACAGGCAGGTGAGCGGTTAGGAGCCAGCGGTCCTGGATTGTGAGAGTGATGTCTGAGGGGTTCCAGATTGGGGAGGGTGCAGCCTGGGCTGAGGGATACTGCCTCCCCATCATGAATTTTGTACACTGGGCCTCTAGTATCATATATATATAAAGTGTATGTATATATTGTAAATTTCCATCAGAGACCCTGTTCATAAATATTTGAAGAATATGAAGTAAGGAGATCACTGCATTAGGTGAACTGGGGAAGACTTGGGAATAGATAAGTTGCTCTTTGACTTAAAGGTAGAACCAAGTTTGAATTGGCAAGAAGAAAACA